TGGCTAATAGTCAGGATCGAGGGGAACCTTATCCGATTCTCCATCAAATGGCATCTCTTCGAGGAAGTTTCGCAAGAGAAGTTTGTTGTGAAATATTACAAGTGGCAGTCTCTTTATTTGAGATAGCTTGTGTTTTTACCCTTTCCAGGTGAAACATCTTGGTTAAATAAGAAACTGAGACCAGTTCGTGGCTTATAGTCAGGATCGAGGGGAAGTTTATATGATTTTCCATCAAATGGTATCTCTTCGAGGATATTTTGTAAGAGAAGTTTATTGTGAAATATTTATAAGTGGCAGTCTCTTTATTTGAGATAGCTAATGTTTTTACCCTTTCCAGGTAAAACATCTTGGTTAAAGAAGAAACTGAGACCAGTTCCTGGCTTATAGTCAGAATCGAAGGGAAGTTTATCTGATTCTCCATTAAATGGCACCTCTTCAAGGAAGTATCACAAGAGATGTTTGTTGTGAAATCTTACAAGTGGCAGTCTCTTTATTTGAGATAGCTTGTGTTTTGCCCTTTCCAGGTGAAACATCTTGGTTAAAGAAGAAACTGAGACTAGTTCGTGGCTTATAGTCAGGATCGAGGGGAAGTTTATCTGATTCTCCATCAAATGGCATCTCTTTGAGGAAGTTTCGCAAGAGATGTTTGTTCTGAAATATAACAAGTGGAAGTCTCTTTATTTGAGATAGCTTGTGTTTTTACCCTTTCCAGGTGAAATATCTTGGTTAAAGAAGAAAATGAGACCAGTTCGTGGCTTATAGTCAGGATCGAGGGGAATTTTATCTGATTTTCCATCAAATGGCATCTCTTTGAGGAAGTTTCGCAAGAGAAGTTTGTTGTGAAATCTTACAAGTGGCAGTCTCTTTATTTGAGATAGCTTGTATTTTTACCCTTTCCAGGTGAAACATCTTGGTTAAAGAAGAAACTGAGACCAATTCGTGGCTTATATTCAGGATCGAGGGGAAGTTTATCCAATTCTCCATCAAATGGCAAATCTTCGAGGAAGTTTCGCAAGAGAAGTTTGTTGAGAAACATTACATGTGACAGTCTCTTTATTTGAGATAACTTGTGTTTTTACCCTTTCCAGGTGAAACGTCTTGGTTAAAGAAGAAACTGAGACCAGTTCGTGGCTTCTATTAAGGATCGAGGGGAAGCTTATCCTATTCTCCATCAAATGGCATCCCTTCGAGGAAGTTTCGCAAGAGAAGTTTATTTTGAAATCTTACAAGTGGCAGTCTCTTTATTTGAGATAGCTTGTGTTTTTACCCTTTCCAGGTGAAACATCTTGGTTAAAGAAGAAACTGAGACCAGTTCGTGGCTTATATTCAGGATCGAGGGGAATTTTATCCGATTCTCCATCAAATGGCATCTCTTAGAGGATGTTTCGCAAGGAAAGTTTGTTGTGAAATCTTTACAAGTGGCAGACTCTTTATTTGAGATAGCTTGTGTTTTTACCCTTTCCAGGTGAAACATCTTGGTTAAAGAAGAAACTAAGACCATTTTGTGGCTTATAGTTAGGATCGAGGGGAAGTTTATCTGATTCTCCATCAAATGGCTTCTCTCGAGGAAGTTTGGCAAGGGATACTTGTTGTGAAATCTTTACAAGTTGTAGTCTCTTTATTTTAGATAGCTTGTATTTTTTACCTTTTCCAGGTGAAACATCATGGTTAAAGAAGAAACTGAGACCAGTTCGTGGCTTATAGTGAGGATCAAGGGGAAGTTTATATGATTTTCCATCAAATGGTCTCTCTTCGAGGAATTTTGCAAGAGAAGTTTGTTGTGAAATCTTTACAAGTAGTATATTCTTTATTTGAGATAACTTGTATTTTTTACCCTTTCCAGGTGAAATATTTTGGTTAAAGAAGAAACTGATACCAGTTTGTGGCTTATAGTCAGGATCGAGGGGAAGTTTATCCAATTCTCCATCAATTGGCATCTCTTCGAGGAAGTTTCGCAAGAGAAGTTTGTTGTGAAATCTTACAAGTGGTAGTCTCTTTATTTGAGATAGCTTGTGTTTTTACCCTTTCCAGGTGAAACATCTTGGTTAAAGAAGAAACTGAGACCGGTTCGTGGCTTATAGGTAGGATCTAGGGGAAGTTTATCCGATTCTCCATCAAATGGCATCTCTTTGAGGAAGTTTCGCAGAGAAAGTTTGTTGTGAAATCTTTACAAGTGGTAGTCTCGTTATTTGAGATAGCTTGTATTTTTTACCCTTTCCAGGTGAAACATCTTGGTTAAAGAAGAAACTGAGACGAGTTCGTGGCTTATAGTCAGAATCGAGGGGAAGTTTATATGATTTTCCATCAAATGGTATCTCTTCGAGGAAGTTTCGCAAGAGAAGTTTATTGAAAAATATTTACAAGTGGCAGTCTCTTTATTTGAGATAGCTTGTGTTTTTACCCTTTCCAGGTGATACATCTTAGTTAAAGAAGAAACTGATACCAGTTCGTGGCTTATAGTCAAGATCGAAGGGAAGTTTATCTGATTCTCCATCAAATGGCATTCTTCGAGGAAGTTTCGCAAGTGAAGTTTGTTGTGAAATATTACAAGTGGCAGTCTCTTTATTTGAGATAGCTTGTGTTTTGCCCTTTCCAGGTGAAATATCTTGGTTAAAGAAGAAACTGAGACCATTTCGTGGCTTATAGTCAAGATCTAGGGGAAGTTTATCTGATTCTCCATCAAATGGTATCTCTTCGAGGAAGTTTCGTAAGAGAAGTTTGTTGAGAAATCTTACAAGTGGTAGTCTCTTTATTTTAGATAGCTTGTGTTTTACCCTTTCTAGGTGAAATATCTTGGTTAAAGAAAAAACTGAGACCAGTTCATGGCTTATAGTCAGGATCATGGGGAAATTTTATCTGATTCTCCATCAAATGGTATCTCTTCGAGGAAATGTCGTACGAGAAGTTTGTTGTGAAATCTTTACAAGTGGTAGTCTCTTTATTTGAGATAGCTTGTATTTTTACCCTTTCCAGGAAGAACGCCAGGTTTTTGGGAAGTTCGTTGTTACTCTGAGACGTCACCTTCAATAAAAGCTAGTGCATTCTCTTTTCTCCACCTTTAGTAAACTTCAGTGTATCTTCTGTTTCTTTACCTTAAATAAAAGTCAGTATTGTCCTATGTTTGTTTTTTTCACCTTCATTCTTAAGTGGGTAGTTCATTACCATTCTTAGGTAAGATTGATCTTTTTTGTTTAGTGATTGTCGATCCCCTGTGTTAATGTTACTCTCTTTTTGCTATTTCCTCTATGAGTGGATAGTTCAAAGCTATCGGTTAAATCGTTGTCATCCATTATTTTCCCCTTAGTTTTGAAGTTTATGTTACTTTTTCTCCTCTCTGGATCTTACCCCAGTAAAGTTGAGTTTTCTTTTCCCTAGCAGAGCCGATTTGTCTCCAATAGATTCAAATTTCTATCCCCGGAGTCATGTTGTTCTCCAAAAATTTATTATCCTGGTTAAATTCTTTCGTCAACTTGTAGATTCTACCTTTGCTTCTTCAGTGTGTTCCTTGCCCATCTGCATGAAGTTCATATATTACATCCATAATCATAAGCATCGCATGGCAATTTAGGGCCAAAAATAGGGCTTGTTTTATATTTAAGTATCTTCAATCACGTCAAAACGAAGATTTTAATCTTCATATCTCCAAATAGAAGAACTTAAATAAGGGCAGCTGTTGTACCCCAATTTTTGCACCTAAGATCCCTCATCATACTTTGTACATTTTATAGCATTGGTCTCATGGTTATAAGATCGAAGAGCTTTGGCATTAGGCTCTCTCTGAATGGAGGTGGGTCGCTTCAAATGAAAGGTGATTAGAATCTGTGGATTTAATTATGATTGAGGTACATAAGCTTCATTAGGTCATCTGACGCGCCATGCATCATTAGTCAATAGTTTGGCTTGAGATAAGGGATTTCGAGGAATTAGGTTTGTTTAATGGCTTTAAGGCTCTTATCTTTGCACAAGCTTGTTTCGGTTGATTTCTCCATCAATTATTTGTTCTATTTAGGATTTTATCTCCTGGACTTCTTTATCATCAAACTACGGGGATATTCCTTCTCCTCAGCATCAGGTTGCAATCTTTCTTCAATGCTTATTAATTAGGGTTTTCTTCTGTTATGCTTCAACTGAGGATCATTGGATTAGGGATCGATCTTGTGGTTATCTTGATATTCTCCTTCTTCGACATTATGGACTTGTTTTGAATGATACAATTTTTGGTTCTCATCAAATACTTGTTACTTCGGTTGCCAGTTAACTTGGGCTATTGAGAGAAATGACTAGTGACTTGGATTCGTTGAAACTTCTAATCGTGCTCAGAGTTAATATTGATTCAAGGGCTTATTAAGTTCATTACTTTGTTAACGGTTGATTCAAGATAGGGTCAGGAGCTTATTTAGCTCATTTTATCAAATAAAAGATGGTTGTTTCAAATGGAAGATGACTAGAATTTATGTATCCAATTAAGATTAAGGTTCATTGACCAAGCATGCCATTTGAAGTCAATTGAGTTTTGACTTGTCATGAAAGCTCAAGTTACATTAAGGATCGATTTAAGATGAACATGGAATAGAAGTTTTTAATGCGATTCAAAGATAAGTCATTTAACGTGCTTGAAGAACAAGATATATGCGAGAGATGTTATAGGACTTGTGGATAATTTTCCTGGTTTTCTTGTTCTCATGATATAAGTGATTCATCATTTGGCTTTGTTTAGATTTTGGATTATGTTTGAGAAACAAAAATAAGATTTTAAACTTGAGGTTAAAGAAGGGATCACGATTCATTCAAGATACATATTGAGAAGATGTAAGCATAAGAGAATAAATTCAAAAACAAGTGAATTAATTCAAAGTCTCTTTTCTTGATTCAACCATGGCTATTACAAAATCAAGAACTAGAACATATACACTTTCAACCATTAAAAATTACACAAAAGTGCACAATTAACAGCAACAGAAACCATTTCCTCTTCCCGATCTCAGTTCTGAATCTTTTAAATGCATATCTGTGGATATGTTCCGCCTTGGCTCTGTCAGATTCTCGCTTGCATGGGAGGTTGTCTTGGATGTTTCTCAAAGCCTCTTGAAATCATTTTGATGGATGAGGCAGATGCATCTAAGGAACTAAAATATCAAGCCCAAACAATGGACAAAGACAACAGACCAGAAGATTTTTGGAACAACAGTGCTATTGATGTGGATCACAGTGCAACTCAATCCCAGACAAGCATCTCACCCATCGTCGTGTCAAACCATCCTTCTGATCCTCAAAGTAGTGATGCCATTCAGACTGATCCTCCAGAGTTTGTTAATCATGGTCTTCTTCTGTGGAAACAAATACAACAACAGAGGTCAACATGCTGTGAATGTTGATAAAAGTTCTATGAATAGTCAGCTTCACCTGTAAGATTGGTGCGCAAAAAGCAGAAAATAAATATTCTATTGTGCATAATTGATATAATAAAAATGAGGAGGAGAAAAGGAAATAAATGAATCGCAATTTTTTCCTAATAGCCCTGTAACCATATCCTAATAGCGCTGTTTAACAGCCCAAAACCTTCCTAACTAACTAACAGAACTCCTCAACAGAAAACAGAATTTCAATAACAAAAAAATTAATTTCTCTAACTAACAGCTAACTAAATCAGAGCTTAACTCTAACCTCCCAACGATTTCTAACAAACTTCTAGCAGAGCTATATAATAGAAGATTCAGAGAGTTACAAGGGGGGATTATTTTCAAGAGAACAATTATCTAACACACAAAAAACTCACAGAGAAAGAAATCTCCTCTAGAATGATCCTCTGAAGAATTCTGCTGCACATCCTTCATCACTCTCGTCACGATTTCTCAATCACAAATCTCTCTCTATATGAAATTATTTGCATCTTCCTCAATCATTCTTCAACCTGATTCGCGACCTTCATCATCTTCTTTGCATCACGCTGCATCAACCTCAAAGCTTTAGTTATCAACCAGTTTGCATAACCTTCGTGAATCTCCATTAACTGTTTTCATCAACCCTTAACATATTCAACAAATAATAGAAAAAGATGAGGGGGATACAATTATTCAACACAGAAGATCTCAAAAGGAAACTCACCAAGAAAAAGCACAAGAAACTTCTCAATTCGTCTTCTTGCAATTTTTGAAACTGCACAATATCACTACTCGACTTCAATCTTCATTGATCATCATCATAATTCTTCACAATCTGAAGAATCACCACAAAAAACTCTCTCCTCTCTCTCATCATGCTCCAAACTCTGTGATCTTCATCATCTTCCTCATCTTATATCAACCAGCTGCGAGAAGCTCATCTCTCAATCATCAGTCAGCATCTTCAACCTTCAACAGAAACTTCGCTTCATCTTGATTATGTCATCAATCTTCAAATATGACTGCTTCATGAATCATCAACGGTTAGCAATAGGGAATCACTACGTCTTTCACTCCAGTTATCATTATCATCTTAGCATCGACAACATAGTTGAAAACGCACGCAACCATCAATCATCACGGCACCTTCAATCATCTTCTTCATCTTTCTTTATGCGCAATAATAATGCATAATTGAAACCGTGAAAACCAGAGATTCGGAAATCACAGAAGAAAGAAAAAGAAGGAGATAGATAAACAGAAGAAGAAGAGTAAAGGAAAGGAGAAGCTTACTCTAAGTCTTCGCTGGAAAATGCACGGTAATCATCGCCAATTGTCCCCCGTTGATTTAGCGTTTTCACATTGTTCTAGCATGTCCTTCGCTGCATAGACTTCTTCCCCCGTGGTTTCAGCTCGAGTAGAGGTGTCAGAATTGCTTAATTGAAGCTTTAGGAGGTCCTAGGGTTTCAATTTAGAGAGGAATTATGGATTATCGGTCGGAATTAGGGATTGAAGGAGGCCGCTGATGGAAAAATATGATGGTACATCGCAGAAGAATCGGCGGAGAAGATGGGAACAAGATCGCGCCGCCGTGGTGCATCATTGAAGAAGAAGCTCAAAATCATCTCTGTTCGCGAAAAGAGAGAAGGATTTGCGACAAAGACTCCAAGAGTCACAAACTTCAAACCCTAACAAAATTTTCCAAAATGCATGCGTTTCACTTCTATTGATAATGCTGAAGAAAATCCAATGGATGTTGGATTAGTGGCTGGGTCGACGAACGCTTAGCCCATAGTGCAGATTTTTGGGCATCTAAAAATATGATCATAAAAAAAAACTATTCTGAACCTATTGGGCTTGTGCTCTGCACCCAATTTACTACAATACACTTCTGGATCTTGGCTTGCACCCCCCTGGTTTATTCTATTTGCAACTTCTTTTGAATAATTTTGTTAATTGTTTATATTTGTTTGAATTTTCTCCACATGATGAAAAAATGATAAAATCAATAAAATTTGTTAGATTTTTTATTTAGATTTTAGGAATTAAATCATGATTATCTGATTACTCGATATTTGCGATTCACCTTTGTTTTTCGAGATTTGAGTCTTATGCAGGTTCATTATTTGATATGCGGATGTGTTTTGGATTCCGATTGTGATTTATTTTCACATCGACGAAGTTGAGACACTTATTACAAATATTCGAACTCTGACTTTTTGTTTGTTGATGCCAGCTCGCGCGAAGTATCTCGGATTTCTTTACTTCGGTTGCACTTTTTGTAGACGTCATTGTTTGTTTGGTATTACACGTCTTCCAAGTTATGTTTCCGCATTTATCGCTTTTCTAGATATCATGAGATGTAGGAAATAAAGAGCATGCGCTCGAAGTCGCTGTTTAAAGACCTGTAGCAGGCATTCTGCACTTGATTTCTTATATGTGTTGTGCTTGTGTTTGTTTTCTTTCTTGTTGATCGATGAGTCACTCAATTTATAAATTGAGATCACGACTTTTCTCTCAGTGCATGCTCCCTATAGGATATTATCGCTTTCCTTTATTTCTTGTTGATATATGAGTCACTCAATTTAGAAATTGAGATCACGACTTCGCTCTCATTGCATGTTCCCTATAGGATAGTTTTACTTTCTTTGGAATGCTAACTTAGATAGGATCTCTCTAGGTGTGCTCTCTTGATCTTATTGGCTTGTTTGCTTTATCCCTGTACATACCATGTTCCCTTAGGATGTGCTTGCTCTGTTCGAACGCAAGTTATACCTTAGGTTGTAAACCAAGCATGCTAACAATAGGTAGAAACTTCCCCTTTCATCCTTGACATAGGACTACCATTGTATGATAACATTAGGTTAGAGATAGGCTAGTCTCCCATAGACTCTTTTCTTTACCTTTTTGAATCCTTGCATCTAAAACAAAAACTTCTTTTCTTAGCAAATCAAAAACATGCTAATCATACCTAAACCCTTCTTCAAAGTAACAAAAATATAAACCAATTTAAACAATTTTGTGGGCTGAAGCACCTTTTCTCTAAAACCCTTTTCAGGTAAGGACATGATTAGTTTACTTTTGTGCCAATGCATAAGTCTCCAAAGGTCGAGCTGCGGCAGAAGGCAGAATTAATATAGTTCTTAAAAAACACAAAACAAATAAAAACATATGAGCCGAACTACGGTAGCTCTGATTCCTCAAAAAGGATACGTAGGCATTGGGGTAGGGCCTAAGCGAGTACAACTTTATTTTCCCTACATTCTTTCTCTTTTCTTTGCATGCATTCCCTCTTAGTTTATAACATTTAAGCATTAGATTGAACACACCCTTTGATTAGAATAACAAGAGTGGATCCCGTAGAGTACTATGGACGTGTGGGGGTGCTAATACCTTCCCCTCGCGTAATCAACTCCCTTACCCAATCTCTCGGTCGCAAGACCTTGATTTCCCCCTTTAGGTTTTTCTTTGATGATTTTCCTTTCCCTTTCATATGGGATAAATAAATACTCGGTGGTGACTTCACTGATTTTACCGCTACAGAAAAATGGCGACTTCACTGGGGAAATACATGTCGACCAATTGCTGGTCCATCCCGTGAGTCACTCCTAGCTCCCATTTTTTTCTTTTCTTAGGGTGTTTGTCATTATGCTTTTATGTATTATTCATTTTGTATATATTTGAGCATATGTTTGCATTGCATCTTTATTATTATTTGTTATATTGTTGTTGTGCTGGTTTCTTTGTTTCTTGATGGGTGGGATGTTACTATGAGGTAAAAGGCCCAATACCCAGGCCAAGTGGAAACAATAGGAACACTAGGAATAGAGTGGAACATGAACGGCTAGTTGAGTTATGGTTCACTATGCCACCATGTCGTCCACGCTCAGATGAGGTACAAATGAGCGGCTATCATTTTCATGTAGGTGATACGGCGATAGTTTTTCAGGAGTACCCTCGATTCTGAGTTACCATTGACCTTACCATGACCTAGTCATTACCCGTGAGTGGGGAGGGAATAATCTTTACAGGTACAAATGGTGACTATACATGTCCTGTTGGTGACTTTGATTATACTGATAACTTTGATCCTTGATATTCTGAATTGGTTCAGACCTTTGATCTTATTGCATATGACAGTGGATGTAGACTTGCATTGTGAGTGTGAGTGTGTGTCAGGGTATAGCTTTCTTTGGAAGAAATAAAAATGTAAAAAAATAAAAAATGATCATAAAGTTTGCATGCAAAAACGTCCATGATTCATTGATGTCATATGGAAATGAGATAATAACCCTTACAAATGGACCATTGTGCTTCGGGAGACACGAGGTTTTAAGAGTCTGAATTGTTTTAATATTACAGATCCAACAAAATGTAAAGACAAATTACTGTGGAATAAAAGTGATCAGGACAAAATCTCTAGCCTCCCATTTGCTGAGCCCTCCACTGACAGTTGGGAAAATCCAATCCTCTAGGTTGTAGTTGTCTTCATCATCTTCCACCGTATTGACTTCACGATTGCTGATCTTCAAGGGTGGTCCTCTGGCACGAGCGCGGTGTACAGCCTTCTGGGCACCTAAAGTGAAACCCAGACCAAACTTGTCAGACTTGTATGGGATATCTGGGAGTTGTCCCCATATAGTGCACACACCTTCTTCTATCACTGCCTTTGCATCCTTCAAATATGACATTCTGAGTGGAGGCCTTGTGATCTTGGGAACTTGGGACACAACCTTGGTTACTGCCACATCTTGTAGGACTTCTTCAAAATGTTGGAATTGAGTTTCAATAAATTCACCATCTAATTCCACATATCTGAAAGAATTGAGATGGTTGATCATATACTCTTCTTCTCCATGAACGGTGATAATCTTCCCTTGAATTGGATACTTCAGCATTTGGTGCAACGTAGAAGTGACAACGCCAACATTGTGAATCCACGGTCTTCCTAGCAAGCAGGAATACGAAGGGTGGATATCCATTACATATAAAGT